ACCTCTATCATCTCCCCCCTCAGTCTCCTCTTTTCTAAGCTGAAAAGTCCCAGTCTCTTTAGCTTCTCTTCATATGGGACCTGTTCCAAACCTCTGATCATTTTAGTTGCCCTTTTCTGAACCTTTTCCAAGGTCAAAACATCTTTTCTGGGGTAAGGAGACCACATCTGTACACAGTACTGAAAATATGGCGTACCATAGTTTGATACTTCCCCTTCTCCTTCTTCCTCTTGCTTTCCCCTTCCAGCTCCCTTCTCCCAGGTTTCCCCCACCCTCTCCTACCCTCTCTCTTCCCCTCTCCTACCTCCTTTTCCCAGTCTCCCCAGAGGTCCATCCCTCCCCAGTTTTGTTCAATAAATCCAGTTTCTATTTTTGAACATACGTGTCTTTTATTTGACATCAGGAAGGGGGGATTGGGAGGAGTAAATGGAAGGACGTGAGGGAGGAATGGGGCACGAGCCCCTGGTGGGGAGGAATGAGGAGGCTCTGAGGGCTCCTCAGGGTGGACGCTCTCCCTCAGGGCCTCTTGGATCCTGACAGTTCCTCGATGGACCCCCTGTATGACAGCCTACAGCAAGTGCAGCCGTGCTGATGGCAACGACCCCACGAGACGCACTGGCGTGCCCAGGGGCAGCTCTGGCTCCATGTGGTGTCCCAAGTGCAGGCACTCAGGGTACTCCAAGACAGGACTGCTTTGCTCTCCCTCAGTGAGGTAGGCAAGCAAGCGGGAAAGGTGAGAACCGGTTGTCCAGAGGGCTCCCTTTAAGAATGAGCCTCAGATAGCCTCCGACATCAGCCACACAAAGCAACTACTGACCTGATGCCCTGCTGGAACTGGTTTCAGCTGCTCTTAAATGCGATCCAACGTCCAATCAGTGTGGACGTGCTATTTCCAAATGCAATTTCAAATTAGTTTTTGGGTCTAGATGCGTTATTTCAAATTAGCTTAATTTGAATTAACTATTTCGAATTAAGTTAATTCAAAGTAGCGCTGTAGTGTAGACATACCCAAAGAGCAGAGTGACCCTAAATGACTGACGTGTTGGCAGGTCTCTGAGTGAAGGCAGCTGTTCACTCCCAAAGCACGCATCTCATGGCAGCAGGGAGCTTACGGCTCCAGTTACCTCTGGTAACCTCAGATTTGCTTTGAGGGGCTGATGAAGGCTCCGGCTGCCTTTCCTATCCTGCCTCCTGCATCCCAACCAGGAACGACCTCTACCACAGTCAAAGTCCAATTTCCTCTTGGCAAGATGAAAGGACCATGGTCACAGGGACGTCAGGACTCCTGGTTCTGTCTGCCGTCCTGCCACTCAGTCTCTGGGAGACGTTGCCCAAGAGACCTCCCCCTAGAGTTCACTTTACCTATCTGTGTAACGTAGCTGGGACACGTTCCTGGCCACTTTCCTTTCCCGGGTGTTTTCGGGAGCCATCAATGAAAGTTGCTACATAGTTAGATTCTAGTGACTTACGAAAATGACTGAGCTTTGATCCTTTAGCAATTCACCTTCAGTGCACACAGACAGTGTTTGTGTTTCCAATTAGTCACCGGTCTCCTGATCTTTCTGTCTCCCCATCCTACCTGGGCATATTCAGGGTATCAGACCTTGTTGGGTTTAGGCAGTGCCCCTAGCTTTCTTACTAGTGAACTATAATTGTTCAGTGCACACAAGCACACAGAGCAGCCAATTCCTCTCTGACTCAGCCCAGAGC